AATCGTACTTTTTTTAATCGTACTTTTTTTAATCGACTTTTTTTAATCGTACTTTTTTTAATCGACTTTTTTTAATCGACTTTTTTTAATCGACTTTTTTTAATCGACTTTTTTTAATCGACTTTTTTTTAATCGACTTTTTTTTTAAAACCTATTATTATGAACTATTTTCTTTTGAAAAATAGCTAACTAATAAAAAAAAAAAATGCTCGAAAACCAACTTGCTGTATCGCTTTAAAAAGGGCTGTTGCTACAAATTAAATGCTTGAAAGATACTTAAGTAATTGCATCGAGCTAAAAAGGGCTGTAACTGGCTGCACCGACCTGAAAAGAGCTATTGCTATAAGTTAAATGCTCGAAAAGTAGCTGGTTGCATCGCGCGGAAAAAGGCTATTCTATAAGAAAAAGACTATATAAATATTCATGAGATAGCTAGCTGCATCGCGCTAAAAAAAGCTATTATTATAGATTATATAGCTACGAATATTACACCGCGAAGCCCGGAAAACTTACCCCGGAGCTTGCGAAGGGCCGTAAGTTTTAGCTTGCGGCCGGGCTGAAGCATCATATTTTCTTTACATCCTTTTAAAGAGTATTTCTTATAGAAAATCGATGCGGAAGGCAGCCTCGCACCACGACCGGGCGAAGCAAGGTCTCCTTTGGCGGAGGGCCGCCAGGGAATAATAATAGACTTTTTATATAAGTGATCACGTTGATCTTTTAAAAGAAGATTGCATTGTTATTAATAGTCAGCCAAGTGTAAATTTGATTGTATTAAGGTATTTTAATATACTATTGAAGATAAAAAGACCAATATAATACCTTAGGCTTTACGCAAGGGTTTATTAAAAAAAATCTTTATTAATTGAAGCTTAAGTCCTTGCTAATACAAGCCGTGCGTCGATCTTATACTCTCCCCCCCCATGAATAAATGTCGAAAGTATAATTTCGCAAGGGATCTTACCAAGGCTTAAACCAATCAACTTATAAGGATTCAGCTTTGAAAAATATCTTTGAACCGGTATTTAGTCTATATAGTGGAGTTGACAAGGCTTTGAGCCATTAAGAAACCACCGCTCTATGATTTATAAGCCTAAACTGGGTCCGACATTTATTCATAGGGGGGGAGAGTAGAATCAATAGCCCCGCGCCTTATTTTAATAAGCTTATATAGTAGTTAAAAAGCTGATTATTATTAGCTGCACGATTAATTATAGCCGACGAAGAAATTTCGTAAACGAATACGAATTTTAAGACATATATATTTCTCTTTGCACTTGTTTCAAAAACTAATTCATCATTATCTTTCTTTTTCTATAAATCCAATCTATCATTCCTTTTCTTTGAAGACTTATTCCTTCTCGTCAAACTCGCATTATATATATACAAACATTATGCTTCGATTGATATCTATCTTCGCGATCTTCTTAGCTTTCAGCTCTCTTTTTAACAAAGTTCAAGGAGTAAAGAGAAAGTCGATGGAGCCGCTAGATCACTCAAGATGGAATCAACAAATAGTTATCGGCTATGCAAAAGTTCCCGAAGTAAGTTTTATTTGATTCTACTACGTCGCAGGCGTAAGTATTACCCCTCGAGGGTAAGGAAAACAAAGGGCTTAAAGTGGAAACTAAACTTTTAAGGCACCCTCGAAGGGTAATACTTAGGCCTGTACCGTGGTATAAAGGTTTAAGCTTATACTAATTTAATTACGCGAATCATAGGACCAAGCCGAGCGCATTAATGAAGACAATAGGCTATTTGTAGACGAAACCGCAAGCAGGCGACTAGGAACTGGCTTTGATATAGGTAAGTAACTCTAATCTATATAGAGTCTTTATTCTATAACGCGGAGCTAATAATCTGAATAGTAGAGTACCCTGGTTTCGGGGTTAAAGAAGGGAATTGGTATTGTGCTATCGAAGCGAATTCGATGCATTTAGAACGTATCGGCAAAGTCTATATCCCTTTTTATCATAGCACATATCCCGAGCCTCCGCAATATTTATGGAACCAAGGCGACGAAGTCATCCTGGACTATATCCAGCAAAAAGGACTTGCGGAAGACCCTTTCACAGCGCTACGCATCTCATATATAGAGGCGGAGGTCTTGCAAATGCAAATGCTTATCCCAGCGATAGTGATAGAGCAAGATTATCTGAATTTAAGGGCCAAATGCTTTGATTCAGTAGACGATCTAAAAACGTACTCGAGTGCTACTATGAATTGGCTCGATGAATTGGACATTAAAGGAAGGTGATAACCACCGGGTCTTGCATCCTTTTCGAAGGTGGCACAATCAGGATGAATTATCAATACCATGATGATTAGTCATTGAATGAGCTCAAACTCATATGCTTTAATACAAAATATCTTTTCCTTTGCTATCGATTAGACCTTGCAATTCTCTATGCACATCTGTCGATCTCTTATTGCCAAGGACTTAGGTATCCCTATCCCAGACCCAATAGAATGTCAGAGAGAATGTCATTAGTATCCGACCTTAAGCACGCTTTTAACGACCAATATCAAATACTTCAGGACAAACTATCGTAAGCTTTGGAAACTACAAGAAAAGGGAATCTGAGAATCTGAACGGTGACCTTATGGCCTTTGCGGATACTCGTGTTAAGATAAAGGAAGCTATTAAAGAAATGACTGGAATACGGATAAGTGGTTGTAAGCATGCGTTTCCTTTCTTCCTTTCTCTCTTTTTGTATCTTTAACAAGGACAGATGGGAATCAATTAGTACACATAGATATGTACATACATTATATCTCTCTCCTCTAAGCATTTTATCAGCCGCAGGCTAAGTCTTGGTCATGGTTTTAGTACGAAGAGGATTTGAGTCTATGTGAGTAGATAGATATCTCTTCCCCATTTACCTCCATCTTCTATGGACATTGATTTACAGGTATAAATACAGATCCTCCCCTATCTCTTTTCATACAAGTTCTTACCTATCGTCTTTTTCTATTAACAAAATATAATACAGTCCATCAAGAGTAACCGAAAAAATTATTCATATCGGTCGCGATCCGGAATCTCCAGCCGCGCTGCTGTTCTTCCGCGTCTTGTTCCACAGACGGGGCTGTCGCGCCCAGCCCCCTTCCATGTTTTTATATGTAGCTTGCTTTGCAGCCCCTTTTTGAACCTTATCTGGTATTTTCCCTGAAAGAGCCTTTGGTATCGTCTTTGAGATCGTATTTGAATTCGTCCCTGATATCACCTCTGAACCTTCCTCTGAAAGAGACTTTGAATCCGGCTTTTGAATCGACTCTGAGACCACCTCCGGAATTGTCGCTGAGATCGCCTCTAGACTGTCCTCTGAAATCGCCTCTGGGATCGCCTCTTTCGCTGCTATTTCTTCCAGAAATTTGCCAGCATCATTAGCCTCGCTGTTTTTCCCCTCTGCAACCTGCTCTGCAACCATTGCTTCCACAGACATCTCTTCAAGGGATTTCTGCCCAGCATCGCTCTCCCGACTGAGGTTAATTTCCCCACCCCGCTTCCAGTCACTGTCTTTCGTAGTAGCTCCCTCAGCCATGTTCCTTTCTGTAACCTCCCCTGCAACATTCTCTGTAAAGCCTTCTGCAACCTTCTCTGTGAGGTCCTCTCCAATCGTCTCTTCTGCAGGCTCCTCTTCAAAATCCTGTGTGATATCTTCTTCAACTACCCCTTCCACAGCAACCTGCTCAGTAAGCTTCTCAGTAAGCTTCTCAGCATCATCAGCCTCGCTGCCCTGCCCATCTGCAAACTCCTTTGCAATGACCGGTTGTACAATCGTTCCTTCAGTAGACATCCCAGCAGTATCGCCCTCTCCATTGAGATTGATCCCCTTGTCTTCCTTCCTATCATTATCTGTCCCCGTAGCCCTCGCAATCCCGATTTCCTGTTCGACTACCTTTTGCACAGATATTTCTTCGTTGGATCTTTTAGCATCGCCAGCTTCGCCACTTTTCTCAGCTCCCTCTTTCTTAACCTTCCCCTCCAAATATAACGTCACAGTACCCAGCCCCTTTCCCTCTCCCAAACTAACCTTCCCTTCCATAGGTTTCGTCTCTTTACCTCCAGCTTCAGCCAACACGCCCCTCACAGCGCCCAAAACCCCCTCGGCCTCCTCCTCGTTAGCCTTCCTCCCCTTTCTCTTCCCAGCCACCAAAACCTCAACCCTCCAACCCTTCTCCAACCACCCCTTCAACTTCCCCATCCGGTGCCCAAGATCATTTGCCCCAATCGCCCAGTTCAGCTCCATAGTCTTGGTCGTGACACCGCCCCCCTTCGCAGCCTTCAGCCGGGCCGTCTCGCTCTCGCGCAGCGCCTGCTTGTTAAAGATCTTGCATATCGGCGGAGCGTGCGTATGCGGATCAGCGGGAACGACAACAACGAGCGTGGACACCTTGCGGTCGATGGTAGCCAGGACGTCGTGCGTCGGGCGCGGATCGCAGAGACGGCCGTTCTCGTCGACGAGGCTGACGGACCAAGATCTGATCTCGTCGTCGCGCGGCAAACGGGATTTTTCGGCCGTGGTCGGTTTTTCGGTGGCCTTGTATTTTGAAGCGTAGCGGCGTTGCTGGTATTGGATTGGCGGGGGCGAGAGAAGGGTTGAGTGGAAGGAGGTGGAGGATGTTGATGTTGTTCGGATGGCGAATTGCGATTGCCGGTGTTCAAGGGGGAGGATGAAGATTTTATGCAGAGCTGTAGCTATGCTCGATACGCATCGCGAAGACCGCATTTTGCCCGCCTTTAATCACTCGTTGCAGATGCCGAATCCGCGGTGGCGTCGTTGACGAGAGGTTGCGGCTCAAAAATATATGCTAGCCGAGAAAATAAATCCCTGGAGCTTTTTCCGTCCAAGCTTCCAGCTCAAGCGGCGGGCTAGCTTAAAACGTGACCCACTTTTGTCAACATATCAATCCCTCGCTCACCTACATTTATTGAAAACGAGACAACATAACCCGTACCAGACGCATCGTAAAAATCTAGAGATGCCATGATCCGCTTCTACGCCGGCCACCCTTTTCGCGTTGCCACCGCAGCGCTGAAAACAGTCTTCCTCGCCCACGTCTACTATGAATACGGGATCTATCCGGCCCCAACAAAAGGTGCTTCTATGGTACCTACCCACCCACTATATCGTCTTTACCAATACCAACAGAAATCTCTCTCCTCCACCTCCTCCTCTCCTCGACAACCAACTAACCATCCAACCCCCTTCCAGGTCCCCACCTTCTCGGTGATAGACGACCATGTCCTAATCGACCGCTCCTACCGCCGCGGCCGTAACCTCCAGGTCGGCGACGTGATCAGCTTCGACAGCGTCGTCGGACCCGGCGAGCGCGTCATCAAGCGTGTAGTAGGCCTGGCTGGCGACTACGTCGTGAGAGGAACGCCATTGCCGTTAGGAAATAATGTCGACGAAGCAACGGGTAGTATGGCTATGATACAGGTACGTTTCATTCGTTCAATCGTCTTACTATTTCGCCTCTTTTGCCTGCCTTCCTTTTCCTCATTCTCTCGAATCTATTTTGCTGGACTCGTACGTAAGCTTGGGTTCCCTGCTCGAATTGTGGTGTTCCTATCGATTATTATTATTACTATTATTATAATTTGTTTTGGGGGGCATCGCTCTTGGTATATATAATCTTGCTTCTCAAGGGGGGAGAGAAAGAGAGAATTGGCGATAGGGAAAAAATTGAGAGAGCCAAGGGAGAGAGAGAAGCTAACGCTCTCTCCCCTTTCCCAAAATATCAGGTCCCACAAGGTCACTGCTGGGTCGTCGGCGACAACCTCCCCTACTCGCGCGACTCGCGTCACTTCGGCCCCCTGCCCATGGCCCTTATCAAGGGCAAGGTCATCGCCAAGGTGTGGCCCTGGGAAGAGAGGAGCTGGATCGGGAACGGGATGGAACCTGTGGAGTCGGAATCGACATCAACATGACCATGACCATTATGACAATGGAAAGCCCATCCTCCGGCACCCGGGAGCCGACCTCGCCGGCCCGCAAGGGAACAGAGGCGAGCATGAGAACAAGCATCTAAATGAGCGTGGCGTCGGGAGGAATTGATGTATTTTAGTCAATCATGGATGGGAGACGCATGTAATGAACTCTTCTGTACTTTACTAATAACTATACAATACTGTTTGATGTACTATTTAAAAACAACACCTTTGTTTTGTCCGAATTCGAAGGTGTGTGGATATCATAAAGGTCCTATCTAATTACATGAGAATATTCGCCTCAAAGCGTAGAAAACCTTGTCCTCTTCTTCATCGCAAAAACCAGAAAGAAAGAAAAAATAATTGTTGAGTAAGGACCCATTCTAAGTAGAAAACAAAACAAACGCAAGCTATCTAGCATCGCGGCCGGTTCCCTTCGTTTACTGCCTTGAACAAATCGCTTCTGGGGGCACCTCTGGGGGCACCTTGCCGCTCGCTCGCATTCTCAGCTCCGCCAATACTCGCCATTGGTTACTAAAGTGTGCCTATTAAATGCGCCAAAACACCTCGCCTTCCAGCTCCAAATGCAAAACAAAGTAGGATAATATATAACTGACTCGGAGGTGCGACGCCTCAGCCTTCGATATGGGCGGGCTTGTTTTGTCCGAGGAGTTGCAGAGACCGCTGGGCAAGTTGGACGACCTCCCCTTCACCGTCTTCCTCAGCCTCGTCGTCGGACTCGATTTGAGTATCGGCAATTGTCTTGATCATCTGCACGATTTCCTCTGACTTGCCGATGAGATTTATGAGTTTCTTGTCCTCAGATTCCAATAATTGCAGGAGAGTCCATATTGCTATGTGTTGGAAAGTTGCGTCTCCACTTGCCAGGAATCGCTTCAAGTAGCCGTGAATACCTCCGTTTGGTTCTGTCCAATCCTGAATGAAGATCGAGTAGTCTCCCACTGTAGTCAAGGTTAGCTAGTTGTGAAACTCTGTAATTTGGCAATCATACCTTTCGAGGAGAGATTGCCCAAAGCTGCTGCACTATTGCCTTGTACCTCAATGCTTTCAGAGTCTGTCAACGGGATGAGCACTTCAAATACCCCCAAGTTAAGCAAGTGCGTCTTCAGCTCATCACTGAGGGCCAAGACAGCGATAGCAGCAGTCATCTCGGACTGCACACTCAACGGTACATCGAGAACCAGCTGCTTGCACTTCTGGACGGCACCGGCTTCCAGTACCAGGGCCTTGTTGCGATCAGAACTGGCTGCCAAATTTCTGAGTGTGGAAATTGCGTGACATTGAATTTCTTCGTTGTCTGTAGATCCCAGAAGGTCGACCAGAGGCTTTAAGAAACCTGCATCGATGATAGGCGATTCATTGAGGGGGTGAATGGAGATGTTACGTATACAGGCGACAGCCGAAAGGATTAGAGGCAGGTATGAGGATTGTAATAGTCGGAGTAATGGAGCAAGACCTCGGGCGCGTACGATCTCGAGTTGATATTTCTCGTCGGATGCAAGGTTCCTTAAAGCAAGAGCCGCCTGGCATTGTACCTTTGGCGAAGAAGAATCCATCAAATTAACCAAAGACTGCACAAGCCTGTTTTCGTTCTGGGCAAGCTTTTTCCGGTTGTTAGCATCAACGGCGATGTTGCTCAGAGCTGTCGTGCAGTAGTATTGAACATCGACATCTGCGGAGGAGAGGAGTTGGACAAGCACAGGAATGGCTCCTGCATTTACGAGCTGCTGTCGGTTCTCATCTGGAAAATATCAGTATCAAGGCTCTTGCCCACCACCAAAGCATCATACCGGAATGAGTCATGTTGAGCAGAGCTCCTGTAGCATTTCTTTGCACTCGCATATCTTTTGATTTGGCCAGACGAGTAAGAGGTCCTAATGCGCCGGACCGCGCAATTTTGGCCTTGTTATCCTCGTGGGTTGCCAGGTTCGTAATACACCCAACCGCGTTGCATTGGACTTCGACGTTTGGGGACATCATTTGGCGGATAAGAGGTGTAAGCCCACCAAGCAGAACGATAGCGACCTTGTTCTCCGCTGTTAAAGGTTAAAATGATTCGCCCAGGAGGTGAAACCGAGACTTACTGTTAACGGCAAGATTCCCTAAGGCAGCACTAGCAGCTCTTTGAACCTCGATATCCGGACTTTGTAAGAGAAATAGAATTGGCTCTAAGGTGTCACGGTCGACCTCACGAACATCTGTAAGCCTGTCAGCATCCCATCTGCCAAACCTATCCATATAGCCTTAAAGCTCCTTGAGAACTGAGAAAGCGTCAAACTGATATCTCACTGGAGATTGAAAATCCTTTGATCCGCCTTCAGGCTTTATATTGCTTCTCTGGACCAGCACGTACCTCTCTCTGTGATCTCCGCGAATGTCAAGCTTGCACTCCTTTGTAAATCGACGTTATCTGAGAAAACCAGGGTGCTCAGAGCTCGTAAGGGTTCGCCAGAGAAAAAGTCGGTCTCCCCACGCTGTAGCCAACATCAGTCTCTGCTCTCCATCTGTCTGTCGGAAGGGCGCATCTCACATTTTCTAGGTACTGCAACAAATCTGCCACAGCTTCTCGTTCGCTCTCCGCCAGCACCGGCTCGTAGAGACCATCGCGCGATTTGCCTGTATGTAGTATCATTCATCAGCACACCGGCTCAAAGCTTCCTCCCCCGAATCAAGGCGGGCATGCATACCTCCGCAGCACGAGGATCCGCAGGCACCCATCTCCAAAGCGGACCCGCAGGACTGGTAGTGCGTGTAGATCGAGGTCCAATTGTTGTTTCTGGGAATGTGAGTGAGGGGGTGATTGTGTCTGGGTGATTGAGCGAGCGAGCAGGCAAGGCGGAGCGGGTTGGACAAGGCAAGCAAAGTAAGCAAGGCAGAGGCCGAGTCAACAGGTCAGGTCAGGTTCGGTCGTACACAGACAGAGACGGGGCTCTAGGGCCATCCACAGTGAAATGAAGAGAAGCAAGTGTAGGGAGGGGACGGAAGGGCGGAGGGACGGAGGGACGGAGGGAAGGAAAAAGGAGTGAAGAAAATCTCGTACTCTGCTGGAGCTGGAGATGGAGATAGTCAAAGTGAGGTCGAGGTTAAAGTGGGCGTACCAGGATTGTGACTACTAGAGGAGAGGTACGTCGGCGGAAAGCGCCAAGGATGCAACCGGACCTCGTTTACAAATACTACCTCTACCGTACATGATTAATATGGCCATTACATGGGCCATTTATCTGATCAGTCAGACGACCGTGATGATTATTGTATGGATGGAGGCATGCAGAGTCGAGACAAGAGACATCCTTTGTCACTGCAGCTCGGGGCCTTGAAACGGTTTTACTTGATTTTGGTTCAAGCAGCTAATAAGGTACCTTACATATCAGATCGTATCCAGGTATACGGTATGGTATGGCAGCCGTTGAGGCCCTGGCTTCATTGAGCCTGAGAGCTCTCAAGGCTCAAGGCAAGACACTCGTCAAACATAGTGGTATCTATCTACCATGGTACAGTAAGTAGCATATTGCATATACTCGGTTCGGTGGTGGCGGGTGTGGCACTACACTGATGCGCATCGCTTCTGGTACAATGACAAGCATTGTAATGGTGTTCCGAGATCCGTTCTTATATTACTTAGACACGTTACTCTTGCTACTAATTCCCTGCATTATATTCCGTTTTTGGGAGACAGGCAGTGCTTGCGAGACTGTATACCCTATAAGATTGTATACCTTACAAGACAAGACTGTATACCTTGTAATCGGAGTGCAGCCAGCGCTTAGAAGTGAGGCTCCAGCGGCGCCTATCGGCAAACAAGAATGGATCCCTGGGGAACGAGAGATTGTTGTGGGGTATGCAGCGGAAGTTTTGCAGAGAGATCCGGAATGGAGATCCATGAGGGTCTTACAATCGGTAACCGTGCTAGGAAGGCTTACCGAATGTCAATAATACAGCATCTGGGGTGAACCATGAGATTCCCGCTACCAGCAATATCTGTCCTTGAGATTTAGTTTTTCTACAACTAGTACTTGTACAACTACTATCTCCCGTTTGGCTTGGCTTTACATGTCTCCAAGATTCACAAGGAAAGCTCTTATGGGAAGCGAAGTACTCAGCCCAGATTAGTACTACAGTACTATCTCCGTAGTAATATCTTCGTAGTCATATACATGTCCATACTTGAGTTCAGTGCAATGTGCCACTCGAAGCTGCCTCATTGGAATACTTGCGCTTGGGGAATGACTACGACGGCCCTTAAATTAACATGGCTGAAGGTCAAAGTACCGGCACATACCTACATATACTACGTACATACTCTGTACCACCCGTACCGGTACTCTATTCACTCTCGGCTCGGATAAACCCTTGAGGACGGCCTCGAATATCATGCTTACCTAACCTAACTCTGGCCTTCCACTCCCACTTCGGCACGTGGATAGCCCCACGTCGATCACGTCCCCAGCCAACGACCCCCCATCCCATTCTCAAGAAATATCCTGCCGGTCACCAAACTCGACAAGGGAATAATCAGATTCCGACATCTACAACGTACAAGTAACAACAGCTGCTCGCCCTGGTATACTTCGCTTCACACCCTCTCCTGGCGTGGCGCTTCGAGACGTCGCAGCAGAAATTCCCGGCCCCCGCCATCCCACGCCTTAAATGTCCTCCTCGATCCAGGGCATCCATGTCTGATACGGCTGAAGAGACACGGCCGGCGGCGGCGCCAACAAACGGTCACGAGCCGTCGCAGATTGCTCAACCTTCGACTTTCCTTCTTCCCCGAGGCCAGAATCGCGCGATGCAGGATAAGCCCATGCCTGCTGTTGACCAGGACCAGTTAAAAGGATTGGTACGTGCTCCCGTTGAACCCCAGGCCAGAGAAGGCGACACGGCGCAAGCAAAGAGACGAGAGCGAGAGTGGGAAAGGGAGGCGTAGGGGGCTGCTCTTGTACTTGCGTTGCCGTGCGGTGCATCGTGTGTGCAAAACGATATGAGGACTGCGAAGACCCTGCGAGGCTGACATCGTTCAAACCCACAGAACGCAATCCGCGAGTTCCTCAAGATTCGCACGAGTTATGATGTCCTTCCTCTCTCCTTCCGCTTGATTATCCTCAATACAGACCTGCTCGTCAAGAAGAGTCTGACCATCCTCCTCCAAAATGGTCAGCTCTGCCTACTACCCCTCCTCGAACTCCACTGACAGATGCGCCAGGAATCGTCTCTGCTCCCCTCTGGGACTCTCATACCTCAAGCTTCGCGGGTCTTCTCACAACCTCCGATTACATCAATGTAGTTCAGTATTACTGGCAAAATCCAGACGCTCTCAGTCAGATAGACCAGTTCCGGTTGAGTTCCTTGAGAGGTAGGACGCAAAATGAATACTTTTAACTCGGAAACCAGACTGAACAGCACCTAGATATCGAGAAGGCTATTGGTGTGTCGCCCCTCGAGACGCTGTCCGTCCATCCTGCACGTCCCCTATACGAAGCATGCCGACAAATGCTCAAGACTAGAGCTCGGAGAATACCCTTGGTTGACATCGACGATGAGACCGGGCGAGAGATGGTTGTCAGTGTAATCACACAATATAGACTTCTAAAGTTCATAGCGGTCAACGTGACTGAGACGGAATTTTTAAAGAAAAGTGTCTCGGAAATCGGTCTCGGCACTTACGGGGACCTGCAGACGGCAACCATGGATACATCCGTGATCGACGTTATCCACATGATGGTCAAATACAGCATTTCCAGTGTACCCATCGTGGATGAAGATAGGCGGGTTCTGAACGTCTTCGAGGCTGTTGACGTTATCACCATCATTAAGGGCGGAGCTTACGAAGAGCTTACGACAAGCGTTGGTGAGGCATTGCTGAAGCGAGCAGAGGATTTTGCTGGAATCTACACCTGCAGCGAAGATGACCGGCTAGACTCAATTTTTGACACGATTCGAAAGTCTCGGGTTCATCGACTCGTGGTAATTGATGACGAGAACCGCTTGAGAGGGGTCATCTCTCTTTCTGATATCTTCAAATATGTTCTTCATTACGGGGAAACGGACGAGTACAGACATATGGGTGGGGGAAGTTAGGCTTTGGTAGGATTTGAAGGGACGTGGACTGGAGGCATTGCATAGCGAAAACGGCGTACGGACGAGATATTGGGCACATAATGATGCGAAGTTTTTTTGCTAGATTCCCTTGGTCCTCTCGTCGAAATACCATCTTGTGTTTTCTTACCGCAGGTTTGGCAGTCTCAGCTAAGGGAAATTGCATTGTAATTAATTGATGAGACGCAGGAGCATAATAATATACAGACTCCCATCACTACTCGTCGAGTCAATTCTTCGCGGGCGTGGCAGGTAGGAGCGATGTGAGGTGGTTACCCCTTCCCGATGTAGGAACACATATCCATCTTTGTTGACAAGCCAGAGCAGATCCTCAAATTCCCAATGCCGCAATGCTTCTCCCTTCAATACCTTGCTAGACAGCTTTCGCAAAACATGATGCAGTCCAACAATGGCGGTATCTCTCGCTCGTCTTCCGCAACATTATCAATGGCTCCGCGACTTTCCTCGGCTATCTTCGACGACATAAACATTGCTCAAGGACTGTTGAATGAGCCTAAGGATCCACGACATCGGTCTTCCATGACAAGCATCAATTTTTCCGCCCTCGATGGATCCGACGACCAAGCCCAAATCTCAGTTGTGCCAGCCGATGGCCATCCAGGAGGTAGAGAACAAAGAGTCATGCGTAGCAGCAACACCTGGACATCGTCGAGCGGCGACGTGCTGTCGGACCACGACGAAGTTGATGACCGGACGATATTTGTTCATGAGTACAATCGCTTGGCTAGAAAGGTATGGCCGACAGCAGTCATATGAGTTCGCTCTAATAAGTCCTTCAGCATGGTGTTCGACCAATAAATCCAGAAGACTACGATGTAACGAACGTGGGTTGTCTTATCCGCTTAACTGAAATCCCGCTAACACGTGGCAGGATGAGCTGATCCACGCATCTGCGAAACCCGGAAGTTGGTTTTCTCGAAAGATCCTACGAAAGACGTCTTCGTCGCAAAGCGTCAAGCTGAAAGCCGAAAAGGGCATGAAGCATAGGCGGAGCTTCAGCGACCTGTCTCTGCGCTTGAAGTTGAAGAAGGACAAGTTGAAAGACAAGGACCTACGGGAACTAGTCCGGCTCTGCGGCTCGAGCCTCCTGTACCTGCCAACGGAATACGCCGCCGGGAGTCTGTCAGTTCCTACGTGCTTTCGTGCAACAGCTCAGTATCTTGTGCAACATGGCAAGTCAAGTCTTGTAACTGCGAAGTGTCAACTTGAGACTGACTTTCGTGTAGCACCTACCACTAGAGGCGTCTTCCGAGTCCCGGGCTCGCAGAATGTTGTGGCGGCATTGTACAATCATTACGGCTCTATGGATGAGGACGGACAGGTTGTTTCGGGAACTGTGCGATGTCCCACGCTCCCAGAGCATATCAGATGCGATGTACACGATGTCGGATCGGCCTTTAAGAAATTTTTATCTGGCTTACCTGGAGGAATTCTAGGATCCTTGCACCTTTTCAACGCTCTCATTTCTATTCAGAGCCAGCTGCGTGGCGACCCTGAACTCACGCGGACAAAGCAGAGCAAAGTTCGTGCACGACTCATTGCTCTGGCGATTGCGACTCTGAGATCTCAGTACAGACGCGAACTGATATGTGCTGTATTTGGCCTTCTCAGTATGATCGGGCGGGCAGCTGAGATCGCTCCAAGAGAGAATGAGCGTGGACGGCCATTGCCTACATCTGACCTCATGGGATATGGACCTCTGGGTATCATATTTGGCCCCTTGCTTGTTGGTGATCTACTAGAAGATCACACGATGCGCATTGCAAATCCCCAAGGAGGGCTGGTCTTGCTCCCGGTCAGTCCACCAAAATCTCGCAAGGAAAGGCAAAAGAAGAACAAAGCAGGCGAGGCAGGTACTGCATTTGATAACCACGTGGATAAGATTAAAGTCGCTAACAGCATCGCCGAGATGCTTATTACCCATTGGCGTGATGTTGTTCGTCATATGAGGAATCTGGGCGCGCTCAAGATTGTCGTCGCCGCCAAGAGCATGACTGTCAGAGGTGGAAGACAGCCTATGCTTAGACCATCGGCTTCAGAATCTTTTGCTCTACGGAAGCCCCCGGACTGGGATAACTTCAAGTCTCCCATCAGGCGACAAGAAACGAGTGTATCTCCTACTCCTACGCCACGACGTAAGTACCCCGTTGAGAGATTGTGATCAACAGGCTAATGTTGGACCCAGGCATCAATGTTCTTCTTGATCATGTAGCCATGCATCCATCCTCGCCCCAGCCCGATGATATGCTAGTGATTAAGAAACAACGATCGAAGGCCAAGCCGATGTTGAGCCAACGTCTCTCTGTTGGTCGCTCCTTAAGTATTCTCTCCCCTACCGCAGAAGAGTATACGAGAGATGATCAGTCTGATACGCAAACTCCGACTACTCGGTCGAAAGGAACACCGAAAGCATCTCATCTATTAGATAGTGGAGAAGCTTCATCCTCGTCAGCTCACAGAATTTCAAATCCAGCCAAAGATGGTTTCTACAGCCCCTCGACACCATGTGAGGATGGAAGCCATCTTCCTGACGCATCCCCACTTGGAGGACCTCGAGATGAAGCGGACTTGGAATTGATGTTGAAAGAAAACACACATCCCCGTCAAACTCTATCAACTGCACTTCCCAGTGGATCACCAAGGCCAAATGAGCTTGCCGAGCAGAGTAGCAAGCAACAGCTGCATTTCATGTCGACGCCGGTGTTTTCTAACAGCAGCCCGAGAGCCAGTTTGGGAAAGAGCTTACGCAAGAAAGGTAGAATCTCGAAGGAGTCCAGTTCTTCGTCGGGCAAGGCCAAGATTGCTGTTAGTCAAGGTAGTCCGAGGAAGCTTCAGAAACAATCTCAGAGAATCATGGACCGGGGAAGAGGGAAGCTGTCTCCGGGACCTAGGCCACTGCAACCAATGGCTCATATTTCGAGCCCCAGAGATGCAGCCGTAATGACAGATTATGCGGCCATGACTGCAGAAATTGATGTGTACCACTCGGATTCGGTAGCGCATCTCCGGGAGCAAGATAAGCAAATATTCAAGCAACAAGAGCCAGCCCTCGATGCCGAATTCGCGGTTCTCAAAAAAAAGTTCGAAGCATTCCAAGCTGAGAAGTGCGCTCCTGAGGAGTCATCGTCGACGGATTCTGAGGCTTCCAAGGTAGGAGCTATCATAGTTGCAGCAAACGAAGCTGATTTCGAGGCGTGCATCTCAAAATCGGAAGCAATTCTCGCCGAGAAAAATCTCGAGGCACACAAACAGCAAAAATTGGCTTTTGAGGCTGGAGCTGCTGTGCTTGAGGCAAAAATTGATATGCTCGAAACTATCCAAGCAGAAAAAATAGTGGAAAGGCCTACTGCTCACGAAGTATCTGCGGCACTCAACCATCAACCAAACTCAGGTAGCTCTGCGTCTCCTCACGAAGAAGCCACTACTGCCCAGGATAAAGGGAAGTGCAGCTCCCGCAGCCATTCTTCCAGATGGCATACAACTCCAATAAGCGAAAAACGGAAGGCAGCAGAATTGAGTGGAAAAATGGCATCAAATAAGAATGAGTTCGATAGTTTTGATTCCAGGCTGCAAAATGACCCTGCCATCGGGCCTCAAATCGATGGATCTCATGTTGTAGCAGAGAATTTTGTGTCTACTGCCAGGCGGGTTGCACCCGAGGCCGGCATCGATGCTCTTGACTTGCACACGCCTCCGAAACATTTCGACCCGGTATCCAAAGCCAAGAAGTTAGGCTTCGAGATCGAAGCACAGTCTTCCAACATATTTTCCCCTTCGCCCGACAAAAATCTCCGAGATGGGACTTATACTGAGTCAGACCCTTACAGAATCCGAGCTGCAAAACGTCGATCTCCTTACAAAGCTCACCACGCCGTGCCTTTTGCTCACCAGTATGTGAATGGTGTCAAGGTCGATAAATCACCTGCTTTGAGCCCTTCTCCTCTATCTTCCAGTGATCTCTCCGAAGAGAGCCATGTAGCATCTAAGAATCGCGATTCAGAGACCAGAGATATCAGTGCAGAGTACGCAGCTTTCATGAAAGACGCTATGACGTTCAAGGCTCGATACGATGCTACCCTGGCCGATACCAAGTCACCGGGATATAAATTCAAGAAACGGGTCCTTGATAAAGAGATGGATGAACTGGATGCTCGATGGAAGCCTATTAAGACAGCCATGGATTCTGGGATCAAAGCAGAAGGGAACAAAAAACTGTCTACAAAAACCTCTTCCTTCACACCCTTCGGTCACATTGGCACGGAAACAAAGTCCCGTCCCTCTATTTATCCACTTGGCTCACCCAAAATTACAATTTTCAGAACATCTTCGGGAAGTGAAGATAGAAAATATTTGCGGGTCCTTCGTCGAATCGGAGGTAGTGACCCAGGACTACAGCTAAGAGCTCGTAGCTTTTCGCCTCGTCGTGTATCGAGGTCGCTCTACGAACATCCTAAGCGCATCAAGAACGTGCTTACTATCTCAAGGCTCCCTAGAGATCCCCTTCTACGGACTTCCCACGAGATTGATGATGCTTCTTTGGCTATCTTGGCTCAGGCTTTGGCTACTGGCGGTGCTGGCGGTGCGGATGATATCCCGAACCAGGAGCCCAGGCCAAACACCTGGAGTCGAAACCACCATCAGTTTGAGGACAAAGAAATTAAGCAAAGGGTGGATCACTCTTCTATTATTCCAAGTCTCGGTTCAGAAGAAGGAACAGAAGCCTCTACTTCAAACCCCTCTCGCGACCTCATACTCCGAGGAGGAATGTTCAAAGAATATATTCAGCACACTGAAGCAGACACAAGCCCAACCAAATGGTCTGATGCAACTACCCAAGTCGGTACGAGGCTTGAGCCAACATTCCAGCCAAGACCAGATGTGATGGTCAGCCTGCCAATGCAGGTTCCTAAAGAAAGTTCTATTGACACAGCTCGCCCACATCTGGTCCACCTGCCAGCAGTTGTGCCCAAAAGCCTGGAAAAGAAACCAGTACCCGGAAGCCCTCTCAACACACCAGAAGGCCGTAGTAAGAAGTCACCACCACAGACTCCTGCCAACAGTCCCGCCAAAGATGCATCCGAAAGCCCATCTAAGCAATCAAAAAGCCCGAGCAAGATCTCACTTCTCGTAGCCAGATTCAACAGTGGAGGCCGAAGCTCGCCACCCTTGGTTTCCGCATCTTCTGCAAAGTCGTCGCCAGCCAAGTCACACACAAAGATTCCAACCAGACCAGGAACCCCGGAAACGACAGCTGGCGTCGAAACTTACAAGGGTAGTATTGTAGCTCCGTATACATCCAACCCAGCTTCTCCGACTAAATCGCAAAAGTCTGATAAAACACCCCAGTCAATAAGGGCTGCTGGTGGAGAAACTGTCTCGATACTGGATCCGAAGCGCAGTCCCGTTCGAAAGGCTACTCCTAAACGGATCTTGCGGGAATCTCTCAAAGACTCGACACCACTCCGATCGGTTGGCAAGACTGTCAACCCATCAGCAACTCCATCGCCCCCAAAGGCTACAAATCCATATGCAGTCTCACTTCGACCTGTCCGAAAGAGTGTCGATGGTTCGCCAACTCGCGGTTCTTCAAACAGTGAATCCCAAAATAGTGAGCTTGGTGGAGCACATCCGACAGCTGCAGTGGCTCAACCGAAGGAATCAATTGGTTCCGAGCCAACAAACACGATCTTGGTGTTTCCGGCGACTACTTACGAGGCAACATTGGTCAAGAAGCCGGAAACAATTCTCAAGCAGACACCGCCATCACCTGTGGAAACCATTCGACGTAATCGCAAGTCTGGGACCAGTGGATCATCTATTGACCACGTCTCAGTTTACGGACACGGAATCCATCTCAAACCTGCGCCTCCGGTCAGCTCGGGGGAGCTAAGTCCAGTCTTGCCGGGCTTTGATGGACCAGCAGGTGCTTCAAACATCGGACGTGTGCTTCCCCGACCCGACCTGCCACCTGTTGCCCAGCATCTTCAACTTTCGCGGCCCCCGACAGCTAGTACGGTATCAGAACTGGTAGTATTCGCCGATCATCCAGAGTTCCGAGAGTCAGGCTTGAATCCTCCCCCAAGTCGCAGTAGCTCGTTGCTTTACAACCAGGTCAGAATCCTCCAGCGTCAGCTTGCCGATAAGATCGAGGAGGTCCAGCATTTGAAGCAGCAACTCAATGCTCGCGAGAATCTGGAAATTGGTACGCTTAGCGAAGAACTTCGAGAGACGAAGCGGGATTTGCACAGCTGGAAGGCAAGAGCTGAGGTTGCTGAGAAGCAGCTTGAAATCGTCATGAAGATGCCATCTCGGAACAATTCTTTCAAACACGCTCCTAGCAACGTTTCGAGACGTTCGGACAGACTCGAGAGGACCAGCACTGATTCAAGACGGGAAGAAGGAACCATGGCGGAGAGAATTAGAAAGGCGTTGCATGGACTTGATGGCACAGAGGACACGGAGAGTATGACGCGGTGGAGCTCGGGGGATAGTACGAACACTGTTATCCGCGACCTGCAGGGGGTTGTGCTTACGGGAAGTGACTACAGTAGTTGGATGGAGCAACCGATTGGTGGGGATGAGTGAGTGATCAGGGTTGGGTATGGAGTTGTGTAACATTGGGGGCGTGGAGATGGAGATGGATGGGGAGATATGGGGATTATTGGACATGAATGAAACAGGGGGTACTATAGGTTATGACAGGCGGTATCTCTAGGCTGCTTTCTTTGACATTATTGATTGTCTGTATCATTGAGAAGGCTAGAATTCGAGGGTCTTCTTTCTCCAGGTACCGCTGTGTGAATATTCGACGGGATGAATTCTGTTGTGAATCCACCCACGTCAGTGGTCCCCGAGAAAAGTATTCCCTTGTACATACATACATACATACATACATACATACATGTAGGCTCCTTGTAACTCTCTTTTTTTTTAAAAAAAAAACGAGAGAGGTGAATTTGAAAGACCTCGTGAATGAGGCCTCGCCTCGTCTTCTCTCGTAGTGCAGGCTAAATTCAACGAATGGGTCAGTCAGCTTTCCCTTTTATTTCCTTTCCCTCTCCTCGAGCCGTGTGTACTCACTCACTCTTTCTTAATCTTCACGTCGATCTTTATCAACTCACACAATACCTCCAACCTGCCTGGATTATTGTCTGATTCTTGAGTTGAGCTGAGTTGAGATTTGTGTTGGGTGGACTTGCCTCGATTTTTCCTCGACTCGAGGACAACACAATACAACTACAACTCGACGTCACTTTCTTCGGGAGGTAGCAGCCGACCCAAAAAGCAACCAAGCAACCAAGCAACCGTACTTTTGACTTTGGTTTGATTGTTCGACAAGGAGAAATAGTCCTTACAAAGGAAGGAAAGAAGAAAGGAAGAGAGGAAGAGAGAGAGACGCGCGAGGTGAGTGAGACTTGGCCAGGACGGGGATGCCTCGACTTCTTCGATTTCTTCGATTCTCTGATTCCTCAGCTTGACTTGACTCTGACACTGACACTGATATTTCATCGACGACCAGATCACGCTTTCTCTCTTTGTGATTAGCTTGATTAGCTTGACGCGGTTCGGCTCGGTTCGGTTCGTTTTTGACTCGATTCGACTCGACGCGAGGCCTCGACAGGAAGGAAGCACAGCTACGCTACACTACTCTCTCGACCTGATTCGTACATACGGATACGGAATATTGTGATACGTGCTACTGCATATTACACGTCGCGTCACGTCACGTCACGTTGCTGTCACGAAGAAGTTGAAGTTGCAGTTGGAGTTGGAGTTGAGTGGGAACACTAGCGCAATTATGCCGACTCGGACTTCAGAGATGGATGTCGGCGCTGAGCGTGATGGCGGTGGTGTGGAGGGAAAAGGAATTCAGTGGGAGTCTGGGAAGAAGGCCGAGGAGAAGGTGTTTAGAGAAGGGGGGTGGTGCGATGGGGACTGGGAGGGGAAGGGCGTGTGGTGGTGGGTATGGGTTACGGTTTGTATGTGTTTTTCTCTTGCTTCCTTGCTTCCATCATCTATTTTATCTCTCTCTCTTCTTCTTCTTCTTCTTCTTCTTCTTCTCTCTGGCCTTGGTTTTTTCTTTTCTTTTCTCCAACTGCTTTTTCACGGGGAATGGGTGAGATTCCGTTTGCGTAACCTCGGGGGGC